CAACGTTGATATTTAATATAAATTTTTAATGTATCTCAGGGAAGATTCTAAAATCATTGAGCATACATAAACCGTATACCTCCGTTTTAGTCTTCTATTTCTAAAAGATAAGTTCATTTCTTGCTACTTTGATTTCTTTTCCGGGGAAAACTTTTAAGCGGAAGAAAAGCAGGATTTCTTTTCTTTCAACGCCTTACATCAATTATATAATATGGCCAATCATTACCTGATATAATGACCTTCATCGTTTGGCATCAAATTTGAGAAATGTACATATTTATTAAACATATTAATCTTTTTCCAAGTAGCAACTTTGTACATCTTTCATCAGAATTTGTATGAGATCCAAATAAAAATTAATTACTATTTTGAATATTTGCCAACCATGTGTATTGGCATTTAATTTATTTTATAATCAGCCCGCACTTTCACAGTCTCTTGATTTCTATCTCACTTTGTTTCATCCGCGCTTGGAGCCGGTAATTCTGCCGAATCAAAGGCCTCCCTAAATATCTTGGCTAGGGGCAAAATAATCTCTGTCGCAATTCAACTACAGTATAACTGGAAGTGACAGTTTCAGTTTCGGAACGTTTGATATATAATTTTTGATGACAACGCAATAAACTTTATCTTATGCATTGTTCAGCTAACACTAATAACTAGATACTAGCGTTTTAGAAATCAGAAACAAAAATATGCAAAAAAATTATTCATAAACGAACTATTGATTACCACAAGCTTAACAAATTAGCTTAAACAAATTATCGAGTCCAAGTTAATTGGCACAATCTTGAGGATAGAAACTGACTATAACGTAGGAATTATGAATTATGGCTAATAAAGCTTATGGAATGACTAGATTTATTAAAATATCGATCGAACATTTCAGCGGTTGATTATCATCTTAATTTTTCAATCTTTAGTACTCCAACTCAGTTTGCAATCATCAATATGTTTTAATATGGTAAAGAATTCTTACCCACCGTCAGAGACATTTTTGTAATGATGTGCTGTTTCTCTTTAAACTAGTAAATAAAATGTTTAACTTGGCTATATCTTTATCCAAGGTTGGGTAGATAAATATTGTTTAAAAGATTACTTTGTTATAATTTCATGCAAAAATTTTGTGGTGTTGCTCCATATTTTTTTAAATTAAATCAATACTAATTCTTATCGTAATTGCTTTCTTCACTACTGACATTTGGAGGCCTTTATCAATCATGTGATTAGTTACATACTACGATATCTACAGTCGTGACGGAGCACTTTGTTTGAAATCGCTTCAAAATATAACTTCAAAATATTTTCAAATTAATCTTAGTACATTTTTGTAGATAAGCCTTTTTATTCACATATCAATATCATTATTATCAATGTGGTGCTACGACTCTTTACAGGTCCTGGCTTTCTAAACTTTTATCCTCCATTAATTCTTATGCAGGTGCAACTGTCTTCTAGCCTCTAAATCCAACCTTGGCCACGTCCTCTGTTATCCCATCCTTCCGCCTGAGTTGAGACCTACCTTCTAATGCTTCCTTGTAGTTTGGTATACATGATCCTTCTCGGTACATATGTATCTGATATCTGATGCATGGTTCGCTCATTGCAAGTGCATGACTTAAATTGTAATTGTGAAATCTGCCTACTCGTTTTCCTAACAGTTGGTAAAATTATAATTCAAAGTTGTATCTGTTCCTTTGAAAATTGTGCGATGAATTTTCCTTTCGAAGATGAGTAGATGGTTGCCGTCTAGCCTGTTAACTCCCCATGTCTTTGCACAGTACACAACTACGGATAATATAAGGATTTTGTGAATTATTAGCATTATTTACGAGAGTTGGTTACGCAACGCATTAAAACATTTGTTGGCCAGCGCGACCTATTCTGGATCCAAGATTCTCTCCAAGGTCATGAAAGATTCTACAGCTGTTATCTAAGCCTATCAGTGCTGTATATATTATTTATTTGTTATAGTACCTATAGTACCCATGTTAGCATCAATCACCGTCTTTTTGAGGCATATGTTGAACAGGAGACATTTGATGGAGCCTGTGATGTTATTTTGTATTTCTATACAACATTTGACGTTAATCATCGTCATTCCTTCCAGGTCTACCAATTTTGAATGATGAGACTATATAAGGCATCATATAGTTTGGCTCGTATATACTGTTATCAGTGGAGTTGACGTCGATGAAAACATAATGAAATGTGACGATCTTGTGCTCTTGGCCCTTCTCCAAGATTTAACATAGAACAAATATTTCATTCGTCGTTGAGTTTGTTTTAATTTTCAGTACAGCGTATAATTACTTATTCTTATTTGCTCCAGTGCTGTTGATTAATAATTTTTGATTGGGCTTTAATAATTTCTAGTTATTTAAGCATTTCAAGGTCCTAATCGTTTTGTTTAGTAGGTCATATAGAAGTTTGATGTTATTGGATCTTACTCATCTTTCCTGATTGGTCTTTTATGTTCAATTTTTTCTCGTACATCGTATATTCTTTATCGAGTAATACCCAAATTTTATTATTGCTTTCCGTTCTTTCATTTATCTTCTTTAATTTTTTTTTATTACTTATATTTCTCATTTCTTTAATACTTTTTGTAATTTTTCAAAATCAGTTTTCGTTTATATTTGTGTTATTTTACTCTTAAAAACTAGGTCGTTTAAAAACGTGGTACTGAGAAAAACTTATTTGCTTTGCATTATTAAAAGGCGATTTTAAGTAACAAAACAGCAGCAATGTCGATGTCCTCTAGTGGATTGATTGGTTATTGACGAGGCAAAACGCTTTTAGCAACTCTTAAGTACATGTTGTGAAGTGCCTACTCTATTTGGTTTTTCTCAGGATTTCGTATTCCACTAGATCCCTTCGTTTAATGATACTTATCATTTATAAAATATGTTGTAATTGGGTATGAAGAATGTCTATATTGAGAGTATATTTATTTTGTAATTTAATAGATGAATAAAATTCATTTTAAAAATAAATGTAACACTTGTGAAAACTTTCGTGATATAAATATCCAGTGCAAACACAAAATTATGAAAGTGTAAATTATTATTTGTCATTTTATTATAACTTTCTCTGATATAAATACCGTGTTAAATCCGATTATTTCAACGATTTTTGTTTTATATTATATTTTCATTTTCCACTTTTAATATTTTTATAATTTATTAATCTGGTTCAACGTGGGGCATCCCAAATATGTCGCCATTCCAATTCATGCATACAAATAAACTCGATACGTTTGAATACTTAAAATGTCCATATCCGCCATAAACATTTACCTTGAATAAATATTACGTTTTATGAAATGTTGTATAAACAGGTATTATATTGCGCAGTCGTATTATTTGCTTTCAAAATAATCCAAATTTTTATTATTATTTAACAAACTTTCGTAAGTAATAAAAGAAAAGAAACCCTTCGCAAATATAACCTTTCTTAATTTAAACGCAATAATCGATCTTATAGAAAGCACACGATTCTTCGAGTAACAACTGTGTTGTGTAATAATGACGACGACAGCTGGTTCTTATCCGATAATTATTGGTTATTTTTTGGCATTTTCATCTGTTGCAATGTAAAATAACAATCAATGGGTTCGAGACAAATGTACTGCATACGTGCATCTGGTATTATAGAGTGCGTTTTGTCATTGTGGCAATTAAAATAATTTATATCAATTATAAGTGGTGTGCTGTAAATGTTTCTGTTATATAAAATGAATGGTGAACGTTGTTTTGACGTTGTAACATAGAACTTTAATTAATATTTTGAATCGTTATTAATAAAATGTACATGATTAATTAAAACTTAACAAATTTTTTTTATATTTTTGTTTTCATTAAAACAAGAAGGCACTCTAAATGTTATCGCTCCATTTTAATATAGTAAAACACGCACTTTCCATTTCTCACGCAACGTGTCTAGTAATAAAATAATTATTTCAAGCTGAAATTTTTGATTTAACACCAAAATTATACGTTTATGACACTTCCTGTTATTTGTGAAAAAAAAAATTTAAGTAGTTGCATAAGACTCGATATTACCAGAACTAGTTTTCTCCGAGTCTCCTGCGGTTACTAATTATTTCTTACGTCCAATGAAAATTATTTTTATGGTAATTATCTGCATATGTGCAATAATTTAAAAAGTTTCATGTTATGTCAGAGGTCGTTTTTCGATTATATGAACGTGTTAACATTTTAAACCAATTCAATCCACATCGATACTCATGAATGCTAACGATTTTACATATGTAATTTATTTTTCGATAAGAGTACATTGACGTAGTTAGTTGCAAAATGTATTCGAGCACAAAGTACGATTTATTTAAAACTTTTTTTTTCCTAAATTGTTTCACCGTTGTGTTATCACAAACGACAACGTTTTTTACTTTACTAATTTGATCGTTTAAATTACAAAAAAAATCGACATAAACTATTTAATGAAATTGATTGAAATTGCGAAATTATTTTTCTTTCTTTCGTAATTTGTGTTTTAAATGTTTTTATAATTACGTTGTTGGTTTATAATAAAAATTATTTTAATTATCACTAATTACACTATGTGTGGATGGATGGTAATTATTTCGTTGCATTCATTCATTAAGGTTATTGTATTGACCTAAATAATCTATTTGATTTTTATGACATTAAAACATCGATTAATATTGACCACTCTATTTACATGAATTACCATTAATATTTTATTGTTAACAATGTTTCAAAGTTATAAGATTAAGTTTAGATTAACTTAAAACCTCGATATAACGGACGTCGTTAGAACTTTCTAGTTCTAGTGCTAGTGTTAGTTCTAGTTTTAGTTGTTATTCAGCTTTAAATTGTTGCATATTTTTCATTGAACTAAAACTCTAACTAACACTAGACCTAGAACTAGAAATATTCGGGTTTAGCCGTTCGTCTAATATTAGTTAATCGAGATTTTACTATATTGAATTATTTTTAAATCAATTTTTTTTGTAGGCTTGGCGAATCTGAAGGTTCGTATTGCACGCTAGCAACATTCTCGTCGGAGACGTCATCGACGTCTTCGTCTTTCGAATCGTCATCATCGTCACTATCATCGTCGTCGCTGACGTCATCATCGTCCGAGAGTTCCACGCCCTCACCGTCACCACCCACCACCCCATTGCAAGACAAATACAGACGGCTGGGACCGCAAAATCATAAGGCTTTACGGCCTTACACGGATGGTGTTAGCTGTAGCGCGGGAAAACACCGGAATTACAATATGAACGTCACTGCGTTTAGGGTTAAACCGCCGACTAGAGAGGTAAATTATAAAAAAGAAAGTACTATTACTATGTAAATTCTTGTTTCTCAACGCGTCACAAAGTTACGGTTTTAAAATATTCAGTTGAAATACTTATGATGTATATGTATAATTAATTTTGAAAACGAATACCTTTAAAAGCTGTTTATTTTGCATACCATTTAAAAATGAATGTAGGAGCAAGTAAATTGTTGCAATGTTATGGATTCTAGTGATAACAAAGGCTATTGTAACGGTTAAAGTAACGTTAGAAAATATTATTCATGGATAATCAATGATTTTACTTATATAAGCTACAAAACGACTTGATTTCAATCAGAAAATTTTTTTGGATGAAAATTAAACGGTCTTCTTTGATCAAGGTTTTAATATTTCTTAATGGGGTGCTTCCTCGGGGTGTGTTACAATAGTAAAGATGAAATGAGCAAAAAAAATCCTTTCCCCCTTCTATTTTGATGCAAGGCCGTGTATTATAACTGTTTAATAACTTTACTTTTCTTTAGTTTAATTTTGAAGGCTTTTTGGAATTATCTTTTTACTGTTTGCCCATTGAACAATTCCGTTACATCCGCGAAATGACTGTTTTTAACATGAATAATTGCTGTATTGCTAGAAATTAATTAATTGTTACGCTAAAAGAAGATTGGTTACAGCAGTAAAAGTTTAACTATTATTTTCTCTATAATTAGTACTGTTATTTAAATATAATGTGATTAGTGGGGATAATTTATGTTGAGTTGAGAATTTTTCAAAGTTATTTAGAGTTAATTGAAAATATTGAATTACATTGAAATTCTTTATAAACTTTTTCATAAATACTAAGAAATAATTTTTGTACTGTATTAAAGTTAACAGTGATATCCTTAAGAGTGTGTCCATTATTTAAGGACTAATTCCACTAAAACAAGTTGGTAAAACTGATTAAACAAAGAGCTTAGCCTTTCCTGTTTATTATGGTTATATCCCAAATCTTAAAGAAAAGTAAAGAGAGGGTAATGAACCTAAAAGTAGGACACTGGAGAATGGAAGAAGTCCTGCGTATATAGTGACATAGTAGGCGGATACAGTCAGGAAGTTGCAGGACATAGTCAACAAATGAAATATCAATGTACAAACTGGAAATAAACCCAAAAACTATAATAATAAACCCAATAATGGAGATTAGCAACGAGGAAGAAGACATGAAAATTATATGTTGACAGAGTGTCTAGTCGAGTTATATGTGTCTATGACTAGATGGTAGTGATGAGCAATAACGAGACAATAGATCAGGAAAAAAGAAAGTAACAGAAGTGTATTACTAGATTAACACAATAATGATAAATAAAAAAGAGCTGAAGATGCACCTGCACAAAGCAGTATATGTGCCAACATTGATAGATGAAGCGTAAACCTGGACAATGCAGGATAAGTAAAGTAACAGCTGTATAAATGAGGCACCTAACTCGAATAATAGATAGGACCAGAAGAGACATCCTTTAGTACAGAATAGAACAAACAGTTGCATTGCTACGGGCACGTGATACGTATGGCTGCTAAGAGGCTTCCAAAGAGGATGATGGTACCCCAGGAAAAGGGAAGAGGATGCGATTCAACAGAAGAGAATGAACGTTGAGGAGGTAATGACTAGAAAAGAGTACAAAAATGCATCGAGGACCCGACGTTGTAAGGTATAAGGGAAAATGCATAGAAGGAAGATAAGTCTCAAAAAAGTGTAATTATATTAAAGTTATTATAAAAATGTAAGAAGATACCAATTATAACTAAATAGAGTTTGGGGAAGACTTTTTAGCGAAAAATGCTTGGAATCATTAAAGATCTTTTATAAGATTGTAATAAAGTTAAGAAAAACGTGAATGATCTAAATTTTTTAAAAAAATCGTTCGTATTATTTCGAATATTATTTTTCCAGTTATGTTTATAATTTGTTAATGAGCATCAGTACGCATCTAGAATATTGAAAATCATTCAGGGGCCACCCACTTGTTATGCGTGTTGTTGTGTAGGAATGTAATTTACTTCCTGTTGTTGTATGTGTGAATGATATTACGATTTTCAGTTGCTTCATTACAGGTTTCGTCGAATGGATAGAAGCCAAAGTTTTTTTTGTACTTTCTAGGGATATATGAAATACTTCTTTTGTCATTGACAAAAGCGAATAAAAGTATTCGCTTTGTTTAAAAAAATCGTGCAGACATTTCAGGATAATTCTTTCTCAAGGTACCAACAATAGTTAATTTATAATGCTTAAATTAATGTGAATCAATAGTCCTGTGTTATATTTTTGTATTATTGATAGTTTCAAACAGTTTTCATACTATGTACGAAAAGTAAGTTTCATAGCATTTATCTGGCTAACTTTCAATATACAGCGTGTTAGTTTAATTATCGTACCCGACGTCATCATTGCAGGTATGCAACCAATATCACAGTGCAATACGCATCATACGCAAATCGCGTATTGCAATAAAAATACTGTGATATTGGTTGCATACTTGCAATGATGACGTCGGGTACGATAATTAATTAACACACTGTATATTTTGAAAAGGTAATTATCTCTATAACTTACCAGCTACTCATCAATAGTAAAATATTTATAGGGGGTGTAATTATCATAAGGAATGTAAATATGTTATGGTATTGGTAACAAGTACATATATCCCAAATCTATCTATCGTATAGGAGAGAATTTATCTATCTTAAGTTCAATTCTCTATTAGACGCTATAACCTAGAACTACGTTCAGTTATTACAACTCAAAATATGTCGTTTTGGTTCTCTTGTAGTACAATTAAAAAAATTATAGACACCTCTGACCTTCTTTTCTACCAGTTTTGAAGGCATTATGGGGCACTTTTCAATTCTATTTTATTTGATATTTCCCGTACATCCATACCATTTTCTTGTAAATGAGTTATTACTAGTTTGTTTTGGTAGAACTTTTATCAGTCCAAGTACAGCAGACTCTCCTACACCAAATGCTGGTTCCTTTATAGTTGGTTTTCTTACATTTTTTTGTGGTTGTTGCATTTTCTTCTTTATCCGTTGAAGTACCAGCTGCATTTTCTCTCGTCGGTTTTTTTCCTTGGTATGGTTCAAATTGCATCAAATACCCCAAAAGTTCGCAGAGGTACCCACATCTTGTAACAGCATCGTATCGACTTTCCTTTTAAAAACTGTTTTTCCCCGTGCTTACCGTATGGTTCCATACTTTCATCAACACTCACCCTTTCTTGGAGTTCTGAGTATTTAACAAATTTCGAATTAAGCATTTGCATCAATTCTCATAGTTTTGCAAATTTGTCGCCCGAAGGAAAGTTAGTATTATCTGCACAGTGGAGATATCTTTATCATTAACATTACATTTCATATTTATTTCTTTATTTTAATCTCGGAAATTAAGTTCAACCTTTTGGTGTGCATATAACGTCGTTATTTCTGCCAAAAATTATATAATACTATCATCAAGAAAAAGCTCAAAGCATTCCACCAGATCAGAAGGAATGGGTGCTGATTGCATCAGTTTCTCAAAGTTCGGAAACTCAGAAATAAGACCGGATTTTTGCCAGTTTCTTTTTTTTTCGGTAACTTCTTTTGTATTTCGCCATAGCTTTCACTTGAAGCTGTCGACCATCCAGTTATTGATGTCGTTGCAGAAGTCTTCATTGCTATTTTCAGCACTTTCAACACCATCATCTGGAGGTGTGATAAAAACATAAGTGGCTCAAAAATACTGAAAACGTGTTGCTGCCTGGAAAATCACGTTGTGACTAACAACAAAGCGTGGAGGGCAGAAAAACGGGATTGTTCCATTATTGGAACTGTGGGCATAAACGGGTTAATAGATTTAGTTGCGATCTCTAAAATTTCTTCATTTGTCATGAGACACGTGGAATTTTCTTCATATGTGACGTCTAACCCGGAGGCATAGCGGTCATCTGTAGCCATTTTATCCATGTAGACTTGCAACATTCTTACTTATTGCCTTCATCTGTACTTTCATATTCCAATTCCTCCTAAGTACTGTGGCCACTTCATACCTGAATTAAATTGTAGATAATTCAAATTCATCCAAGATACTTTGACGGGTATAGAACGAGAATCAAACAAATCAAACTAATCTGTTACGACGATGGCGTTTTAATATCCGAAGACGAATACAATTTACAGAATTTATTATATAGATTCAAAACAACTAGAGAAGAAGAAGATGCAAACTACCGATATATAATTGAAGTGTGGAACAGAACCTGCATAACCAGTAATAGAAACTTGAAGACAGAAGTGTACTCGAATAACTAAAGCAGCTATTAATCCAGGTATCTATGTAATATAATATGGAGAAACAAACACAAGAGCATGAAAAGTAAGGTCAAAATATACAAAACATACGTAAGACTCATCATGACATACGCCGTAGAAACAATAACTGAAAATTTCACTACGAAAAAACTTTGGAGGACTACTGAAAGCTAAGACATCACAAACACATTTGGAATTGACATTATTAGATGAGCCAGAAACCGAAGAAGGTGTTGGAGAGACCGGCTTATGACCGATTTGCTAGATATCAACGTTGCAGGATGAACCATAATATACAGGAAAAAGTCTTATAAAGTCCGCTCTGTCTCTAGCTCTAGCATAGGTACACTATATAGACACAAAAGTCAACCAACAATAATTTGTGAATTTTTCATTAATTAATTACTATTAATCTAATATTAGAATACCATATTATTCTCTAAATACATACTTTTATTTGGCGTATATCACAATCAATATATTCTTCGTCATAGTATTAAAAAATATGTATTTTAATAGAAATATCCAATATATGTTAGCTTACTGAGTAAACTAGTTTAATAACTTATTTAAATTCAATTTTTTAATTGTCTGTTTTATTTTTTTGTTACAGTTGAGTTTTAATTCGTACCAGAACCGATCGCCGTGGCGATGTGATGGTCCTCCGTATCCTTTCCCGCCCGTGTACAGGAACGTGAACTACAACGCCAGACACTACAAGAACGTACTGAGAGTGTAGACGCCCGAATTGGGATTAACGGTAGATGGTCGTTATTCGTAAATAACTTATGACAGTTTTTGCATTTCGTTTTTGCTACATTTACAAAATGATATATATAAAATATAAATATAATTTAACGCGATACTTAAATACTTTAACAAAAAAAAAAGAAAAACATACACCCGTTTCTTCTGATTATTAAAAAAAAATATAAGAAAACAATAAACCTAATTTTGAATACAGTACAAAAAAATGAGAAAGAAAAATTACATTATAAGATAAAGCATGATGTGTAAAAGAAGAAGAGATCGTCGACGAAGTTTGTGTGCCAAGTACTCCATAGAGAAAGAACGAGAGAAAATGAAACAAGTTTTGCGTGGAAGCCCGTTTTAGTTTAAGTGGTATTCGATCCGGAACGGAAAATTTAAAAAAATATATTGTGCAAATTTTAGGTGCCTTCATTGTTATAGTCAATATGAAAAAAACAAAAAATTTCGAAACGCGTACCTAGTATGTATAGTTTATTAAAAAGAGACAAAAAATGGGAATGAAATTATTCAAATATGAAAGGATTTCTCGGATCATTTTTGTCAAACTATAAGCAATTTCGATTTATCTTTTTTTATTGTTAGTACCTTTCTAAATGTTTATATAGATACATATAATGTATATTTATAATTATTAAGTTTATAAATTTTCTGTGATAGCATTTCTATCATGACAAAGATTATGTGTAATTATCAATTTACTCTTTTCTTTAATTTCCTTTTGTTTGAACGATCAATAATTACAAAGATAATATGAAACTAAGATATTCATCAAAAATTTATTTTAAATAATAATTAAAATGGTAATATGTTAAAATAACGTTAAATAATAATTATTTTATAGCTCATTCATAAGTTCAATTAACTTTATTAAGTAAATACCGTTAAAAGGAATTTGTAGGCTGTGAATTAAATCGTAATAAAGGTATAAATATAAATTTAACCAGGGTAATATGGAGGTTTCTTTTGTTCACTATCTTACTATTTATTTACTTATATTAACATATTACTAATTAATTTTTGCAAGTAAATGTAGCTTGTGATATATTATTTTTTTGTCATGTGTTCTAAAATGTTTGTGTTATAATCAAAAAAATCTTAGTTAAATTGTTCTTTTTTTCTTGATTTTCTTTTTTATTATTAAGAAGAAAATCACGAAAAAGATTTTTATTAAAACTTATTATATGTTCAATAAAAAATAATGTTATGGAAAAGTTGGTGTTTTGTAAATTCGATACTTCAAAAATTAAAATACTTTTTTAAACATATCTAAGAAACAATGCTTTGATCCATATAAAATAATGCTAATTCGGTGTCTTATAATATATTCAGTTTGAATGGAATTGGGTAACTCCTAAGCTATTCTGCATTTTGTTGAAAGGAATCAATTCTGCATCCATGTTATTTCAAAGTTAAGTGTCATAAACGAGCAAGTTCAAAAGCAATCTTTAATTAAAGTTTGACAATTATAAACTTATGGGGTCTAATCAACAGCATTTAACACTTGTATATCTTTGATTACTAAACTTTGGTTTAACCTTTTGTAATTATGTTAACAAACTTTGAAACACTGCAATAAAGTTTATAAGAATACATTGTACCACATTTGAAAAGACGAAATATTCTGATTTGTTGGTATATAATCAATTATGATCTTTTCTGGAACATTAACAAAACGCCTGATGACACCTTACCTGCCGAAATCGGTTATGTTACTATCTTCGCAATTGTTTTGGAATACATTTGTTAATTAAAGCATTTTGAGTTCTCATTTCATAATCTTTATAACTATTATGAAGTATTCTTTTCTTTTTATTTGTGTACATGCTGAGATATGTTTCCAACTCTTTATGATATCTGCAACTATATTTTCCAATAAAATCCATTTTTGCTTGTTTAAATATTCCTTTAGTTTCAGGTCAAACATCATACAGTGACTAAGATATGGCGCATCAATTTGTTAAATAAAAACTGAAACGGAGTTATTTAGTTTCAGATAAAACAAATAGTTTACACTTTTAGATAATATTCTTTATTATAGTTTTCTTTACCGGTTTCGACTTGTTACTATCATCAGCTGAAACTTGAACTGTTGGCAAAATCAAAAATATAAACAACTTTTATCATTATAATTTTTATAAGTTTTTATTTTATTGAACATACAATACAAATTGTAATTGTTTAATCGATCGTTCTGCAAAGATAATAAAATATAATTAAGAGTACTAGAAGGTATAGTAGCTTTAAATTATAATTTTTTTCTCCAAATGTGATGATCGCAAAAAAAAGCGTTAAAATATTTTTACGACTGATTTTTTTAAGTGTACGAAAAATGTATTTACAAATGCATTTGTGTGCATAGAAAGCGTCACCGATTGCTTATAGTTTGACGGTTTTTTGAGTACAAAACGTTCGTCCAAAAAAATTAAAATACACTGTGCATTTCTTCTGATGAAAATAAGAGAAAATGAAAAAAAAATTTAAATAATATAAACGAGATTAACAGTATTTTTTACTTAGGTTTTACATATCAAAGCGTCTTTTCGCGATCACAAACATTTTAATTATGTGTGTATATATTATTAAATGTATTGTGAGACAACGATTTGACACGTTGCTAAAAAAATATATATATTATAAAAAAATATATGTAAAAATTTAAGATTTGGGGATTGCGAAAAGACGTGGGCAACGAAGAACTGCCAGATGAAATTTACGCAAATGCATCTATCGTTAATCATTGGAGTTTAAAACAAAAACGAGAAAACCTGCACATACAAATTAGTGATAAGTATTTCGTTTTGTTTATTTTTTTGCTCTATATGGATCTTCTTCGTACTTTGTAACGAATATATGTTGTTTGAGTTAATTTTTTTCGCTTAATTTTACATACTAGTGCATTTATGTATTTTCCTTTTTTTTAAATAATGAAACAGGTTTTTAATCTTAGGCCTAATTTTATAAGTTTCCTATTTGCCTTTTTCCAACTTTCTAGTGATTTTTTGTGTTTTTGGTATATATTTCTTGGTTTGCTCGGAGATTTCTTTTTATTTTGGTTTTCTATTTTATTAAAATTTACGTTTATTTCGCAATTTTTCTAAAAAAAAGGTCTGAAAAAAAAGTGTAATCATAATAAATATATAAACATATATTATACATGTGGTCCAAACTTATGACGATTTTGCAATGTCTAAGATGTTATTTTAAGATTTAAAAAGAGGTAATGGTAATTCTTGTATTTTGTACAGAATTGTACCGAAATTTATACTGAAATTTGTTCTCAATCTACAATAGATTTTAAATTAAAAAAATTTCAATCGCCACTTTTCTCCTGTCCAAAAATGAATGCATTGTGATACCAGGTTACTTAAACAACATAAAAAAAGATATAAAATAAAATCAATTGCCGTTTTTACAATTCTGTACTCTAATCAATGGTAGTTTTTTTTTTTGGTTTATTAGTTGGTATATAAATTATTAATCCGAATGTAATTGAAACTAACAGGGTTGTATAACTCTACTGAGGTTTATTTGCATTTCTTTAAGTAATACTATTAATTCAGGTTTAAATGGAATTATGTACGGTGGGAAATTGCCTGGTGAAGTGCAATTAATGAGAAGCGCGTTGAGTGTGATATTTTTTTTGTATATACAGCTCGAAATTTTTTAGGGATTGTAAACGTGAGAAATTGTACATAATTCTTTAGAAATCTGTGTCGTATTTGTAGAAAGAATATGTATGTAGGAAGTTTTGATTGTAATATATACATTAAAAATATAATAAATGTTAAGTATTGCATCTGAAAATTATCGAATTTTCTTTTGTTAATTCTATTTTTATATATTCTAAATAACCTTTATATCCTCTTCTATATCAAAAATAATCTTTTCCTTTAATCAGATTTAAAAATATGAAATAAAACTATTTTACTTAAGTTCATACAACAAATAAAAATCAATATACAATCATTGCAGGAGAATGCAAGAGTGGGGAAGGAACCGATTGAAACAATAGAGGAAGTGAAGGAGAACAAAAATTAAACGAGAACGGGAAGGAATCTAGACAATTTGTGGGCTACAACTATCTGAAAATAACCAATACTTTCGTGAATAGGAAACTGTCTGCGCATGTCTGTAGAGGATCAGACATTTGAACAGACCATTACTTTCTAAACCCTAAAATCGCAATACCACGTCTAGGGGTCAAAGACAGAAACAAGCTAAAAACAGAAGAAACATATAAAACCTATGTATTACAAGATGATGGCATTAAACATTTATATCAAACAAGATTAGCTAATTACTTGCAATCAATAGTAATGGCAGATGAAATCGAAGCTGAATGCGAAAACTTGAAAAAGATAAGCCACAACGTTGCAAATAAAGTGTTAGGAAAGAAGAAAAAAAAACTAACGAAAGAGGCCTGAAATTTGGAGTGAAGAAATACAGGAGGCAATTAACGAGAAAAACGGAATAAGGCTAAACAGCTCATAAGAAAAGCACATAGAGAAAGCTGAGAAAGATACATCTCCAACACCGAAGACGAAGTCCATGGTAGGCAGGAATATGCATACAAAATTTTCAGACATCTGAATAAGGGATCGATGGAAACAGCACTATAGAGATTTATGGTTCAACTCTAGACACTTGGAGGTTTTAGAGGAGGGAGATAATTACTACAACGATGCAGTGAATAATATAACGCTTGGCGAACTTGAAAATGCCCTGAATGGGCTCAAAACCAGAAAAGCAGCAGAAAAGAAAAGGGAGCAAAATATGGAAACACACATCGCATTCATTGATTATACTAAAGCCTTTGATAGGATAATAAGAAGCAAATTGTGGTCAATACTGGAAAAAAGAGGCTTTACAGTCACACCGCTATATCAATAAACAGTATCTCAGACAAGGCTGTTTTCTGTCACAGCATTTATTCAATTTGTAAATGGATGATCTAATCAAAAAATGGAAGGATCAAGTTCTAAATAGGGTCACAACGTCCTGAAAACACTACTCTTCGTAGACAATCAAGTAATTTTTGCTATGTCAGAAAATAACCTTCAAAAAGTCGTATATTTGCTCAATAGCATTAGTAGAGATTACAACTGCGAAATCTCTAAGACATCCAAACCAATAACAATGGCATTCATAGTAAACGAAGCAATAAGAACTAAGATATACATTGATAACGCCTGCTTAGAACAGATCAGCAACTTTAAATATCTAGGATGCGACGCTATCTATGAACACGATAAGGACATTCATCGTAAAATGACAATCTTTACAAGAATGTGTGAAACTATTAGACGATTTTTGGGTAATAAATGCTGGAAGGATACTCAAATGAAATTTTATAAGACAATGGCAATACCGACCCTGATGTATGGCAGCTGATGTAGAGTCCGCGGAAATGAAGTTTCTAAGAGCGACCAAGAACTGTAACAGATTGGATTATATCGGAAACGAAGATATTTGAAAGGAATTGGAAATTTTCGCAGTTAACTATAAAATCAAGGAATACAAAGAAAAATCTATGGACCACGTGCAGAGAATGCAGGATGACAGAATACCTAAATTGGCATTGCAGTATAAACTAAGAGGAAGACGATCAGTGGGACGCCCGAGAAAAAGGTGGTCTGAAGGATAGGTACAGGTCAACTAGGCCTAAACCGTTAAGCAGATGATGACGACGACTTAAGTTCATTATTAGAAAAACATTTAATTTAGATTTTTTTGTATTATCTTTACGTAAAATAGTAACTTATATGATTTTCCAAAACTATCAAATAGTGCTGAATTACCAAACCATTTACGAAATTTTGGTCTAAAACCTAATTATGATTTTAGCAACAAAACTTGTATGTAGATCATTTCGAACTTCGCACTTGCGAGGGGACTGAAAGAGGTTTCCTTCATTATCAATCAGTTCGCATTACAATTTATCGCTGAATGCGTTCATAACATAATCCCAAAATTGTTGCTCATATCTAAGGATGCTTATAGAACATATCTAATGTTGCCTGGTATAAAATTGAAAACAAAAAACAATTTTTACCATTTTTTGCAGTATTTGCAAGAGTTTAATTTACAATGAAATTATATCCAAAAATAGATTCTGATTTTTGAAAATTACTTCAGATTTGACTATCGTGGTAGCAGAAAAATCCATTTACTCAAATATGTTGTCATAATCGGTGACCAGCTTCTGACATTCAGAGAACTACTACAACTTTTCATCTACATTCTTAACCGTTTGAGTCCCAAGCAGCGTTGTTCAGATTTTATGTCGAGAAAACCCAGTCCAGTTTAGAAAAAGCGCGATTGCACTGTTTGGAATTCTTCGGCAATATTGTTTCAATACCCCCTGGTACTCAAACGGTTAAGCAGCTTACTCTAAAAATAATACTACTATAAATTTGAAATTCAAAATATAGCACCCACAGAAAAAGAATATATATTATAGAAAAGATAAAATTGTCCAAATAAAAAGGAGATTTTGATAATACGATGTTTGATTTTACTATTTCATGAATTTCGTGGAGTATTTTTATTGATATGGAATTATGTTTAAACTGGATTTGATATGTTTTAATTACGGTTTCGGATTAAATAATTACACGTTTCAAATTATTAATTGTAAATATGTATTTCCTCTATCAATAGACTTTTTGATAAATTATTAATTATACAAATTGTTTCAAAACTTCATGTTGAAACGAAAGCATTATATAAATTATTAACTCATTGTCACAATTCATTAATTTACAGGCCGTTAACATTTCTTTGCAAAGTTTTGAATATTTTGAAAATTTCATACTCGGAAGTGGTACTACAATTTGATTAAAATTTTATATCGAATGCTTTTTATAATTGTAAAAACAGTTACAACATTTTAATTGTTTTTCTTTATTTAAAGATTTAATATTGATTTGTGTTAACCAAACGATTCGATATGATACGGTACGTAAATACATACGCACATAAACATAAAGTATTAAAAATAGTAGAAATGGATTTAGGAGTCTGAGCTTAAAGAGGCGCTAGAGGTCATAACTTTGTCTAAGTTCTGCCAAAATCATTGGAAATGAAAACAAATTTATGAAACGGAGAGCTACAATAATTCTGTCAGCTATAGGAGAAAGTAGACAATGAGAAATGATTGCCAACTCGCTTACATCTAAGATCAACCCAAAAATAGACATTACCTGAGACACTCTAGCAAGTAAAGAAAGGAGGAACGTGATCAGAAAGAGATTGGAGCAAACTGGAGAATTTAGGAGACTGCATGACATTTGCAGTAGTACCTTCTTGGTAATCAGGTTAAGGTCGGAAGTACATCAAATAGCGATATTGAAAATATATGAATTCGACTACTTTTCAGGAAGCTATTAAACGTGAGTTTTCACATATTAAATAAATTCAGATTAGATGGGTCAAGAAACCAATTTAAATCCATCGTTGCTTTGTGTACAATGTCTAGTCTGTCACCATGGTTCTTCTGAATGCGAGGAGTTAGCCAGGGAGAACTGTCTGTAAAAATACTACGAACGGTGTTTTGTGTTATGATCACAACATAACTGCAAATCATGATTTGACATCTGATATTTGATAATATTCCAGAATGCCACTAGATGCTGGACATTTATTTACGCGTGTCATCAGCAAGCAATACACACTTATATCAAGAAGAGTAAGGTTGATTCGTGCATATCTTCAGCACCATTGCAGTCTGAATAAATAACCGCTTAACAAATAGATGATATGTACAGAAAATGTACAGTTTCTGAAAAAATAAGCTTCTTTTGTTTCGAGAGGTGTAATAATTATATCAATTATTCTATATTAGTATGGCAAAATTATCTTAATACTCTAAAAAGTATCTTTAATTTCAATATCAATAAATATTCAGTATGCTTTGAGCTTCTATATAGACAAGGCTGGAATTAAAGATGACTTCAAATTGAAATTATTGATCGATTGTTTCGTACCAACAAAGAATATAATTTTAATGCAAACGTTGACCGTACGAGTAGTAAGAGAGTTTTTAAATTGGAATGATTATATAAATACTCACGGCTATATTCTCCCAGTTTTAAAGGACCTTTGTACAGAAGTTGTGTGCTTTTCAAGCCTTCATTAAAATACTGAAAAGCTGAATGTAAGAAACTTTACGTAAATATTGCTAAAAGTTTAGAAGTTATTCAAAAACGAAAAAACAATTGAACAATCGCAATCTCTTAAACCTGCGAGATTGGTATCTCTTATACCAATGTTTAAAATCAATGCAAAACTCAGTCAGATGCTTGACACAAGCGCTTCCCTATAAATAATGGAGTGGGTGTACTTGGTGATTTGTTTCGAATAAGGTCTTGTTAGCTAAATATGGAACGATATCCATCAATATAAACATCAATACCTTTAGGGCATCTCAAATTATTTTCATATATGAATGTATCAAGAATTTCAAGCAGTTCCTGAGCTTTCTCTCCCACTATATCTTTCTTATTGTTCAAATTCCAACCTTTCAATGTTTTTAATCAATTGATTGTTGATATCCTCCGCTATATGTTGGTATATTCTGACTAATTGTATTATCAGACAAAAGTACTTTTAAAAACACTTTACCTGCAGACTCACCAATCGTGATGTTTACCTTATCTGCAGCAGTCGCTCGAATAAGTTTTTCTTTGATGGTATGAGGTTTCTGACATTTCGCGATTCTGTAAGCCACCTTGCATAACTTGTAAAGCGCTGTTTGGTTATGATATAGTAAGTAGTTTTAAAAGTTCTATATTTGGTTGATTCAG